TTAGGGGTTCCGGGGTTTAGGGGTTTTAGGGGTTCCGGGGTTTAGGGTTAAGGGGTTCAGGGTTAAGGATTAAGGAGCTTAGGGTTTAGGGGTTTGGGTGTAGGGGTGTAGGGGTTTAGGGGTTTAGGGCTTTAGGGCCTAGGGCTTTAGGTGTTAAGGGTTTTGGGGGTTTGGGGTTTTAGGGTTTGGTGACAGGGAGTTTAGGGATAAGGGGTTTGGGGGCTTAGGGGTTTAGGGTTTAAGTGTTAAGGCGTTTAGGGTTTAGGGGTGTAGTGTTAAGGTGTTTAGGGTTTAAAGGTGTAGAGACTTTGGGTTTTGGGGTTTTGGGGTTTGAGGGCTTAGGGCGTAGGGTAGGGGATATATACGGGCATAATGCTGCATTATAAGGTTGGGGGAAATGCGGTTCCACAAACTTCACTCGCACAGCTTAAGTCCTTAAGTCAGTGAAAAATACTAACCACTGAAGGTTCAGGAGGTAGGGTTGTAGTCGAGTAAGTGCAACAAAACACATCTCAACTAGGTTCCGACATCCAAAATGTTCCAATCACAGTCTTATGCGACTGACTGGAAAGCTACAGCTAGACGTCAAATGTTTTCCCGCTCGTGGTTCGCATCCACACCGGGTGGGGACAAGATATCTTGCAAGTGCCATTCTGTCCTGGCCAAAGCACCAGCAGCATGATTTTAGCTGCTAGTTTGCATCACTGGGAGAACAATTGTGACCTGCTTGTTCTCCTCGAGGGCTTCTGCGAGAGCATGTGCTACAGGTCCATCGTCCGTCACTGTCTTGTTCTCCTTGAGGGCTTGTGCAAGAGCCTGTGCCCCAACCTTACCGATCCGACTGGAACTCAACTTGTTGATCATTCTCACTGCTTTATTCTCCTTGAGAGCTTCTGCAAGAGCTAGTGCTCCGGCATCACCGATCTGACTGGATGACAAATCGATCCCCGTCACTGTCTTGTTCTCCTTGAGGGCTTCTGCAAGTGCCTGTGCTCCAGCATCTCCGATTTGATTCTGATAGAAATCGATCTTCGTCACTGTCTTGTTCTCCTTGAGAGCTTCTGCAAGAGCCTGTGTGCCAGCATCACCAATCTGATTACAACCCAACTGGATCTCTCTCAGCGTCTTGTTCTCCATCAGGGCTCCTGCAAGAGCCTGTGCTCCAGCATACCCGATCTGACTTTTAAACAAATCGATTCGTTTCACTGTCTTGTTCTCTTTGAGGGCTTCTGCAAGAGCTCGTGCTCCGGCATCACCGATCTGAGTGAATGACAAATCGATCTCCGTCACTGTCTTGTTCTCCTTGAGGGCTTGTGCAAGAGCCTGTGCCCCAACCTCACCGATCCGACTGGAACTCAACTTGATCATTCTCACTGCTTTATTCTCCTTGAGAGCTTCTGCAAGAGCTCGTGCTCCGGCATCACCGATCTGACTGGATGACAAATCGATCTCCGTCACTGTCTTGTTCTCCTTGATGGCTTGTGCGAGAGCCCATGCCCCGGCGTCACCAATCTGATTTGAACCCAAAGACACTTCTGTCACGCTCTTGTTCTCCTTGAGGGCTTCTGCAAAAGCCTGTGCGCCAGCATCACCAATCTGATTACAACCCAACTGGATCTCTCTCAGCGTCTTGTTCTCCATCAGGGCTCCTGCAAGAGCCTGCGCGCCAGCATACCCGATCTTATGGTCAAAGAAATTGAATCGTTTCACTGTCTTGTTCTCTTTGAGGGCTTCTGCTAGAGCCTGTGCTCCAGCATCACCCAGCTCTGGATCTCTAGCAGGACCAATATAATCATCCTTGTCTCCGTCCCACAAATCAATATTTGTCACTGCTGAGTTCTGTTGGAGGAGCTTCGCCAGCGAGACCACTTTCACAGGTGGCCAAATGGGCCGCCTCACCGCAGTCTCTTCTCCCGATTGCACGGAATGGTCTTGCTGTCCGGCATTGCGCATTTCGAACTTTCTAACCGCCCAGACAGCATCCTCCAGGACAGGTTGCGGAGGATCTCCTAGCTGATACATGCACCATGGCCCCATGAGCTCCACATCCATCAGAGTAGTGTTCTTCCGCATGGCTTCTGCAAAAGTTTTTGCAGCTTCCTCGCCAGGTGTCCCGGCATCGATGTGGAAAGATGTCAAGCTGAAATTCTCGGGCAGAGTGTCTGCCACTGCCATCAAAATCATGTCTACCTGCTGCTCTTGATCTCCGCGAAAAGTGAGTTTTAACTCTCTGAGGGTGTTGTTTCTCAGCAAATGTTGAAAGGAAGCCAACAGCGCTTCCAAAATGTCATTGCTGCACTCAAAATTCAAAAGCGCACATGTTTCGAGACATGCGTAATACGGCAACGACTCGACTAAAGTCTGAGTAGCCTGAACATCCAAAAACTCCAACTTCAGATGCTTGCAGTTTGTCACCTTCTCCATGAACACCTTCTCCTGGAGGTGATACACAGGGTCAAGGTCAGACCAGTGGGTGAATTTGAGCTTTTGAACTTGCTTCCGGAACACCTCCGGGGTCATCGGGACTTTGCCTTGCAATAATTGGGACTCTCCACTCACATCAATTCTCTGATTCCTGGTGCTTTGCGCTCTGGTGCTGGACCACTCAAATTCAGCCTGGCACCAACCACGTTCTAGATATGGATTCTGATTCCTAGTGAGCTCAGTCAAGGGCACTGATCGGACTTCACCGGTTTTTTCATCATAGATCTTGACAACCCGTCCTTCCTTGACCCCCTGCTCCCACACTTCATCAGAGCTAATACTTTGCACCCCCAGAGTCAGGGTGTGCTCGTGGCAATACAAGAGGTGCATGTGGCCCATGGCAAGCCTGAAACTCCTGTCTTGCTCCTCGCTCCGTTTAAACTGGAACAGCGATATCTGATCAAAGAACAACCACACGGGAGCATCATAGGCTGCCGCATACAAACGAGTGCAGTCGCAAATGATCTGCAGCTGGTGGCCACAGGGATCTGAATGCTCCCTCGCCTCCCAGCAGTGGGAAATTGAGCAAATCAAAGCTTCACGATGCCCCGATGCCCAGCTCTTCACCTCCTCATGCCGAACCAACGCACTTTGCTTTCCCTCTGCAGTCTCAAAATAATCATCTTCTGCTTCCTGTCTCCTTGGAATGCTACCCTTTGCTTTGCACAAGTTCCACAGAAACTCCGCTCGGACCAAGCGGATGTTGGCAGTGATGAGGAAATTCGCCAAGTCCATGGGATCATCTGAGGAGTACTCTGCACGTTTCACCTTTGGTGACTCCTTGCACTTGCCCCCACATGCACCCATTGCGGCTTTCGGAACGATTGCTGATCGACAATCTCAACTTACAGTACATCAACTCACATAGGTACATTGTGTGAGGCATGGGGAGGCACTTTCACCAGGCTTAACTGTGGGTTCCATCCAGGGCGATGCTGCGTAGTGTAAAACATGTAGCCGTTTGATACGTTTGCTGTGCTGTTTTCAGATGCATCAAGCTGTCATGAGGGCATGGGAATGCAAGATCTTACTGGCTCATCGTTGACACTTCTGAGGTTGCAAGAGCCGCAAGACACGACACAGCCAGGCGTCAAAAGGCGCTGCCTACCATTCCTATGAATCAATATAACTTAGTGTCAGCGCCGCCACGCGGCCCAATCCATCCCAATATATCCCAATCCCCTGGATCCAACAACCTTGCACAATACAGGGCTTGGCATGCACAGGTCCAAAACGGAGACATGACACGGTAACTACACCAAAACTATCAATCAGGGCCATGGAATAGGTGAATGAATGTGAATGATGTCGAAGATCACTGCGTGGCAAATCACAAAATCCAAACTGCAACTGCAGTCGAGCCCAGCCACATTTCTCCCATGCCCCAGCCTGGACCCAGCTCCATCTAAAACCTAAACCCTAAACCTTAAACAGCTTCGAGCACTCCTAACCTTAACAGCAACGCTAAGATCCCGGCGCATCAGCATTCTTTTTGCGGCTGCGCCGTGAAGCGCTCGCACAGAGCTCTAGCCTGCACGCCAAACAGAGTTGGGTTTAGGGTTCAGGGTTTAGGCTAGAAGCCAAAAAGTTGGAACATGGAAGTAGGAAGAAGTATGTCTGCTTTCCTTCTTTTCTAAGTCTTGGGGTCGGGGGATAGTCATGTTCCAACTTTCTGGCTTCTACTGCATCAATAAGGGAATATCTCAAAACAGGAGGTTCCAAAGGGAACCCAAGGGGGTATGGGGGGATTACACAGGGATAAGTGGGGTTCTTATTCGGGTTTATATAGGGGTTATTTTGAGATATATCTTTCCAGGTAAGCCTCGCAAAGATCCCATGCCTCTACAACTGCAGATGTACAATGGGGATTTGAAGAAGCACAGACTCCTACTTTAGGGGTTTTTGTTCGTTTAGGGTTTAGGGTTTAGGGTTTAGGGTTTAGGGACTTTCTATGCGGAGTTCTCCAGGTACGACCCAAACCCACGGAAAGCGTCTGCAAAAAGACGGTACTGTATGGGCTACATCGTGGGGTATATTGGGCGAACTGGTTACAGAATGCATCTACCTGTAGCACATCGTTTAGCAATACGTGCGATGAGGATTCGGATGCGATGCTGGAGCGGCAAGACCATACCAGTTTCTCTTCTGCTTTTGCTATGTAGTGACTTTCACTTGCAAAACGGAGCCTAACTTCCTGCCGGGCTCCTCATACTTCCCTATCTTAAGCTTACTAAATTCAAACTCGCCCTGGCGGCAGAATACCTTCTTACGCAGCCACTACTATAGCACGGTGCTCACGAAGGCGCTACGATGTAGAGTTGTGAGCTGCATGTTGGGCTCATGTAGGAGGAAATGCTGTGCACATTCTGGTCTGGAATGTTTGTTGTACACTGGCTACAAGTCTGAAACCTGTCTGCGTAGTCTCTAAACTCTAAACCTCTAAACCCTGCACCTCTTCATGACAAACTGCAAGAAAGACACCTCCCTGACGGTTAGTAGCGAATGGGGGAATGGACAGACAGACAGACAGAGCGAGGGGGAGAGAGAGAGAGAGAGAGCTCCAGGGAGAGAGAGAGAGACAGAGAAAGAAAGAAAGAAAACGAGCGAGCGAGCGAGAGAGCTTCAGGGAGGGAGAGAGAGAGAGAGAGAGAGAGAGAGAGAGAGAGGGAGAACAAAATATAAAAGCAAGCCAGGGATCAAGACTGAGATATCTCTAGACACGGCACGTGCTAAATTGCGCATCGAGCTCTCGTGGCTCTCTCTCGCCTCAAGGCGTCTCGGACTGCCTGCGCGGCTGTCCATGTTGGCCTCGTATACACTGAGGGTCGTGTAGAGCTTGCTCGCTTGGCGGCCGGCTACAGTCAAAGGGCAACTTGTTCACACTCGGCGCGTTCGGGGCCGCAGATGCCTCACCTGAAACATATCACATCAACAAACTTGGCCGGTGGCAGCTATACTGCAGGCTAAGACAAAGGTGCCTGCAGGATAGTGGCACGGTCTTTGGCCTCAGCACTTGCAAGAATATTGGAGAGATGCCAAATGTTCAGCCCCAATGCTTCGTGATTCTGCTGCTGAATCCGTGGTGCGCACGGCGGTGCCGAGGCATAGTCCATGTCAGGCTTTCCTGTTCAACAAACAACAAGATCGAAACGAGGTCAGCTGATCTCCAGGCGCTCTGGCGGGCAGTACGACTGTAGCCTGAATTTGTCCACATGACCCGGCCTTTGCCTTTCCCTTTGCTTCCGCCTCGTTTGCCTTCAGTTTAGGGTTTAGGGTTTAGGGTGGACAAAATTGTGGGCTACAAGTCTGTGCACATTGATGTCTTGTGCATGCGCTGGACGCGTGAAACACATTCGTGCGCACATTGCCGCAAATGGACCACTTGAACCAGCATTTATGGAGTGGCAGCAAAGCAAGCAGATCGAGCAAACACAACAAAAGTTCCGCTCGTGTCAACTTGAACTGTATTATCTTGCCAGACTCCACCTCCACTTCCCCCACCACCCTGCAACATGCATGCGATGGCTGAAACCTCACAACGGACATATTCTGCCACCACACCAAACACGCTGCTGTGGACAAACTGTTCTGCCCACACCACATGCGCCAAACTCTGTCGGAGTAGGTTTTGTTTTAGTTCTTCAAGCAGTCACACGGTGAAAGGCTCAGCCACATCGCTCAACGCTTTGCACTGCCTGCTTGTCAGATGTATGACACGCAGGATGAGTGCGCCCAGGTCGTGTGCACGGCTAGCACCTTGTAAAGCCACATCGGCAACTGTGATGTACATTGTGAGACGAGCTGTGAAGCTCCAGGACCGGAAACATGCAAGCATCAGCGTCAATACGACTAGAAAGGCTCGGCATCCCACGAAGCCAAACTTGCGCAGCGTCCGCCATGGCTTCTTGAGGCCTAAAGAAAGTCCTCGGAACCAGAAGCCTTGATGCCATAGCAAGGCGGCGAAGATAAAGTCCAAAGCTAGCCCTCCGACATAGCAGAGGATGACCAACAACAGAACAGCTGCTGGAAGAAGCAACCATGCCCCTGACCACGCACGTGCCCGAGCGGCATCAAGCTGTTCTGATGAATATGAAGAACTTACCTCTGGATCCTTCTGAAGATATTCCACGTATTTCGCAAAGGCCAAAAACTCGCGCCACCATGTCAGTACTCGCAGGACATGCAATAAGTAGCACAATGTCTGGGTTGTAACGGCCACCCGCATCATCCAGATTCTCAAAGTCTGAAGTTTCGGCTTGAGCTCCTTCTTCCCATGGGGTCGGAAGGTAACGACAAACCGCCGCACACCCTTTCTCCAAGCCTCATCTGCCGCAACCACGAGGGCGCTCTTCCCAAGTTCAGCAAATTCGTTCCTGGGCTGGCTCTGTCTCTAGGATCATCTCTAGAATCCATGATGTTAATCACACTGGTTTAGGGTTTAGGGTTTGGGGTTTAGACTCCCTTCACACTCCCAATTAGCAAACATGAAAATCAAGAACGACACAGCTTCTGGTCAAGGTCAAGCATTTGCAAAGTGACCTCTCCAGTTTGGATGGCCCGTGCGAATGCAGTGGCTCCAACAGTGGAAATTCTGTTGGAGCATAGGATGAGGTTTCGCAAACACTGGTTGGCAGGTAGTACTTCAGCAAGGGCAGCGGCTCCATCATCCTCGATCTCGTTCTTGGAAAGGTCCAACGTTTGCAGTTGACTGCTTTGTGACCGCAAGACGTCTGCTATGGCCTTGACGTGCGCATCACCCAGCAGCAAGCATGAGAGGTTGGCATGCAAGACTGACCGGTTGTCCACCAAGCCAGCAGACAGTGCCGCCAGCGAGCCGTCCAGCATTGTGTTTCTTGTTAAGTTCAGCATTTTGACACGAAGATTCTTTCCCAGTTCTTCACAACCCTCTTTATCAAGAATGCTGTTGGTCACGGACAGGGTTTGTAGCTTCTTGTAGAAGCACAAGGCGCGACCCAGCACCACAACTTGGTCACGAGGCAGCCTCGTCAAACTCAAAGATGTGCAGTTCAATGCCTTGTCCATGAACACACGCGCCTGCAGCTGTACCACCTGGTCAGAATTGTTTCTATGCGTGAATTTTAAGTCTTTCTGAAGCACCTTCTCTTGAAATACATTTGGCGGCATAGGGGCCCGGTTCCAGGGATGGAGACAGCGACTGCCCAGGGAATGTGTCTGCAATCTGTCCCGCATGCTGGACCACTGCATCTCTGCTTCACACCAACCGCGATGGGAGTAGGGCGTCGTGTTGGCATTCAGGGCCTGGATCTGCACCTCTTGCACTTGTCCAGACTCTCCCCTTCCATCCGGTGTGAAGAACACCTCGATCTTGCGGTCCCCATCGATCTGGTCCGGCGGCGTCAAGCTCTCAATGCAGTAGGTGTAGGTGTGCTCGTGGGCGTAAAAGAAATGCATATGCAGCATTGCAGCATCGAAGCATCGCTGCTGGCGGCTGTACTGATATCCCCGATAGAACTGGTAGATGGACATGTAGTCGAAAAAATACCATGACCACTTGTCAGGCCACAGTCTTGCGTTCACCAGCATGCCCAGCTGATGCCCCGTCGGGTCGGGATGCTCCATTGTCTCCCAAACATGCGAGACACCGATGATCCGCACTCTGCGCCGGAAGCCTTCGTCCGTTTTCCATCTCAGCAGCTCCTCAGGCGTAACCACTGCATCAGCTTCTGTCTCGATCTCCTGGCGCCGGATCACCGTCTGTTTCGCCTGGTGTAGCTTCTCGAGGTACGTGCCGCGGATGAGGCGAACGTCGATCCGAGGATCCAGGAGCAAGTCAGCCAGCGCGGCAGGATCACGAAGGTCAGAGTACCAGGGTCGCTTTTCTCTGGGGCCCATGGCTGCTACAGACGCTTGGGAATCTGCACCGGTACTCGCACGTCGCCTCATGCAGACAAAGAAAGGGCCTGAACACCTTCCGCCTGTCGCTCTGGAATGAAGGGTCGCTAGCCGCCTCCTGGCTGATAGCTATGCAGAAGTACGGTGTGGAGACCCCTGACAGAAATGATGCTGGGGAAACCTCGCAGAATGCTGCACTGCTTCTGTCTTTTTGGACCCATTACTGTGGGCGGCAGATCACGCAAATGGAATGCATGCAACTACGGATGTAAGCTTTGCATGACCTTGCAGCAGTGTGTGGTGATCGAACCAACACATCTCAAAATGATTTGTTTCAGATTGCTTCAAGCAACAACCTGGACTGCATGCAGCAACACTGAACAACGACGCAACAGCAAACTTGCCGGTATCTCTCTACACTCTCAGAAGCCCTATAACACTAGGTTAGTCGGTATAACTGGCTACATACTACGAAGGCGCAGGTTGAACTCTAACCCGAAACCACAAACGCCCTAAACCTACACCCAACAAACAGCCCCGTGGGCTCTTTGACGACTGCGTTGCCGGACCATGCACGGAGGTCTCTGGGACGTTGCGCGAAGTTGTAAGATGTTGGGCCGGGGCAGCTATATACTATGTCAGACGTTATTTGGGATGTGTATCCAGGAGGGGTACAGGGTACAGCGTGGTCTCTTGCATGACTGCAGCTGATGGCAATGAATAGCGCAGTGTGGACAGACCTTCATTGGTCAAATGATGTTGAAGTTGATACGGTTAGCGCCACACAGTGGTCATCCGCCGCAAAGTGTAACAGGCCCCCTATATTCTGCTACACTGTACTATCCAGTATATGACTCGCATACGACATCGTACACTTCTGTACTGTACTGCTATATTTCACCATCTAAGATACTGTTCTGCTGTACACTGGGCGATACCTTGTAGAGCATGCAGCAGGCTGCACCATAGTAGATTACACAAACCGCAATTGCACTATACTACAAGATATTACAGTATGCTTCGCTTTGACACACTGTGATATACGGTGCTTTACTTCTCATTGGTTGAGTGTGCTGTCCTACACCAGACCATGCTAAGGCTTCTATACTTCTATACTCCGTACTATCCGATGCGGGGATGAGGGACGTCAGAGGCTCCTGTGGCTTTTTTGAAGGGCTCCAGATTTTTAGGCGATTTCGGGTTCGACTGATAAATTGGGGGTTCACGGAGCTGCTTCAACATGCACAAAGTCAAAGGGCTTCCATGGGCTTCCGAAATCGCGCGGCTCAACCTGAGCCGAACCTAGAATCCTTCTCGGCAGGGGAAGGTGCTAGTATAGCTCGTCAGCTACTTGTGGCAGACTTGGGATAGAATAAAGAGGGCTGCAAAGCCTATCATTGCTTTGAGGCCACGAATCCACCAATGCGACAAGGCCTCGGTCTCTGAGTTAATGCCATTTCGGAACACACAGAGTAAGCCCGAACACGACGAGTGCTGCTCAAATGACGTGCTGCGCACTGAAAACGTGCCCGCGACGCGAGCCTTGAGGCAATGTCAGCGAGACCTGATGCACACATAATGCAATGCCGACGGTAGTTCACAGCCTATTCATAGCTGAAACAACGATCAATTCCCGCGAAGCTTAATCACCCACAGCGGCATAGCAAAGGATGGCTTGGGGCAGCGGCCAGAGCTGAGGACAAGTTGGCACAGGACATGGCTGAAGTGCTGAAGACCTCCCAGGCCGCTGACTCAAGTTGGCTTACTCCGACCCTCCCACAAGGAAGCACCCAAACACCTCCTGATCGAAGAGCTCCGCGCGGAAGCGCACGGAATCCAGAACCCCTGACAAGCAAGGAGCAGCTGATGCAACGAACTCCAAGCGGAAGATCTGCACAAGTTCAAGCAACATTTTCAGAGAATGGATTTCGTAGGGTGTCGTAGGGCCCTCATGTGCAAATTTCGGGGCACTCACTCCAATCTCCAACCCCCGGAGTAGGCCATCGACATATGGGCTTGGCGCTGAGCTGAGGTTCCTGAAACAAGGCAGGTCTGCTTTGGAACACTACTAGTACTACTAGTACGGTTTCTATAGTTTCTATAAGGGTTCCTTTAAGGGCTCTATAGGGTTTTTAGCGTATAAGGGTCCATGTACCCAAATAGTATATACACTCCCCACACTCTTCGTTACCATGCCTTCTCTGCAGGCTACAGACTCTGCATGGGATCCAGGACTGGACGACGGATACTTGGCATTTTCGAAATCTGAAGCCCGAAGGCTGGAGTCGAATTCATGGGGTCGTCGGCTTGAGGGAGGTGAATCGCGCGTCGGCGCAGCCGTTGCTTTGATGCCGTGCTGGTGATGGCACAAATAACGATTCGAGCTGTGAATGGCGTCAAGTGTGCCGGGCTTCGGAAGGAGCCCGAACGTCAGCAAACCTTCTCGCTATAAGGGGGCTCCGGACCGTCAACATATTCGTCCCACCAGGTGAAGTGCGTGGAACAGAGACTTGCTGCAGCTCCACCGCCTCGTGGCCATGACCGCAAGCTGCTTCATGGCTTCGTGGGCCTGAGCCTGGGCGACGTGGCAGAAGATTAGCAGCTCAACTTGAGAAGCCAGGCTACATCCATCTATCCGCGCCCAAGCCAAACAGCTCCAAATCTCCAAAGCCGAGAATGGTTTCTGGGCTCTCATTACGCAGAACTCCAAAGCTAGAAAAGCAGAGGGGGTGAGTCGAGCCTTCCCCCCAAGCCCTACTTCGAGGGGTGTGCTGCAGATCCTAAGAGCTGAACAAAGCGCTCCCGAGCATAGAAGGATGCCGCAGCGTCATCGGCGAGAGGCTTCTGGGCAAGAGCTTGAGGCTTCTCTTGGCAGCACTTGAGTTCAGGTCAGGTGAAGTTGGTCTGCGCTAATGGGTCCGGTGGCCTGTTGAGTCTCAAGTGTTCGGGAACAAAGGCTGGAGGGGAACTAACCCACACAAGCTCAGACGAAAGCAGCACCGAACAATACGGATCATAAAGTAGGGAAGCACTCACTTCCCGAGCGTCCTTGGATGGGCTGCGAGCGATGGCACAAAGAGATCGGAATTGGCGACTCGGAACTCCTGCACTTCAGTTTTCTTTCAGTCTCCACAGCTGTTAAGTGGCATGACACCACCTCGATGCTGCCTTGCGAATGACGCGTTACCACGATTTAGGAGTCCACAGGACATTAATTCACAAGTCCGGCGACCTGTACATGAAGACCCAGGCCTTCGTCACAGCCTTCCTCCAGCTTGAAAGACCGGATCTCCAGAGCCTGCAGCTGGGGATTCGGAATCGTAGCTGCCGATCTGTTTATGCAACGGCAAAGACGGCAAAAAAGATCACGCATGCGGGTGTAACATGGAGCCTGCGATCATGCTGAACGGCCGCACTGTCCGATGACTATGCCCAGCTTCAAGCTGCTTGGCGGGCTACATGTAATATATAGTTCTATATAATTATAAAGTGATAGTAATGATAATAATAATAATGATAATAATAGTAGTAATA